AGTATTTGGTCCAGTTATTTTGGTGATCCTAGTCCTCCTCTATTCCTCAGTGGCGATAACATACAAGTCACTGCAGATAATAAAAGATGTTTCACATACATCTGTAGATTCATTGAAACTCAAGATAATGCAGTTAATTTCGAAAATATTTCAGAATATTCTATATTACTTTACGAAAGCATTTTTTCAAATGTACAACAGCAGTTTATATTATAGGCCTTGCCAGTAATGATGTAGTTATTGATAAATTTTGCTCACTTGAGATTCATTATCGATTTGTACCTGAAGGTTTATTTGCTTATTTCTCAGGCAATATTAACAGTACAGTTCTCCATGGATCAGTTACAAATGTAAGAGAACATGGTGGTCTAAGGGGAATTACATGTCCACGCCGTGGCTATTTATTTTTTTCAAAAATAAACAATACCGATTCTGTTTTATCATTAGCGACAGCTTTGTATTGTGAAAACACTCGATTTAATGTTTCATTTTGTAATTTTGAAAATTTAGAAGCAAGCGGTTGCATGATTACTGGCTTTAATAGCGGTTTAGGAAAAATTGAGAGATGTAATTATATAAACAATTCCCAACGTAGTTCAGAATATGGAATAGTTACAGCATTTTCTGATGAAGCTGTCATATTGAATTCTGTTTTCCAAAAAATCTACAGAGTCAAAAAAAATATTTATTTGCAGGAAGAATTGATATAATTAATTGCAGTGTTGATGAATATTCTATTTATGAATTTGGAGCATTTATTGATAACTCAAGTATGACAACAGAATCATTTTCTAATGATATAAGGTTTATTGGATTAAGTCCATGTGAAGGAAGTATCGTAATACAATATGTCCGAATAAAAGAAATGAAAGCCTGTTCAACATATTACAATAAAAATATATATTTATCTAAATATTCCATCCCTTTTTTGCTATCAAGTAAAAGATAGAAATTTTATCAGCCTAAATATTTCATTTTCCATGATATGATATTACTTCCATTAATTGTATGGAAAATGTATTAAGAATATCATTTGGAGGACAGTACATTTATATATTTATATCTTATAGGAAATAAGAATGACATAAAACGTGACACCGCTTCTTTTTTTTCGATTCCAGTTCATTCATTGCAATTGATTTGGTTCAAATTTGCCGGTTCCATAATAAAATTAATTCAAATATGTATTGAAATTTGCTTAACAATCCGATTTAAGGAAATGCGACATTCATATATGCTGAAATTTCTCTTTGTGAAATTATCTTCTGGATATTTAAATGCAAAAGTGACGGTTATTCACAGTTGGATAATTTCAAAAGATGCATTGTGAGCACAGATAAATTTATTTTGGACATACCATTTAAAAATATAAACAAGTTTTTTAAGGCAACTAATAATATTTTTCATAATCGCTAAACAAAATGTTTCGGATTATTACAACATAGATAATTATATTAACAAAACAAAGAATAAAACTATATCAGGAAGCGGAAATTGCATTCATCATGCAGTATTTTCTTTCCACGTTCAAACATTAATGGCATAAGCCCAGAACAAATATTCAAGTAATAATTGCATTATGTTTTGATAAATTTGTTCATATTGCAGGCATATTTATTCAGTACAATTCTTCATGTTGTGTTTATTCATTAAATAACGTTATATTTTGCCTTTTTAAAACATTGTTATAATGATCCAGACAATTGTTTTTAAAAGTTCACTTAATAATTGTAATATTGTAGATAAATTTTGACCTCAGTCATTTGTAATACCTCAATACTTTCATCCAAGGTTCTATGTTCATTAAGCTGCTGCAAAAGATGAATTTTGAACAGAGTTAAACTCGTTTTGGACTGGAAAATATTAGATTAAAATATAATTAAGTTTTTAAGCAACTCATACAATTAGTTCTATATGTTTATAAATTGAGAAGGCATTGAAATTCTTTAAAGCGTGTTCCACCAAAATATCCATACGAGATCCTTAGAATGACATTATTCTCGCACTTTTGAAGTGAATTCAAAAAGTGTAAAAATTATAAATTTTTTGGCATTTTATATAATTTATCCGATTTCCATTAAGTTTTTAGGGTCAATTATCAGATGTTATCTAATATATCAACATGACTCAGTTTTCATAGATGAACGTTCAACAAAAGAAATCAATAAACAAAGTTTTCCTCAAATTCATCAAAGTTTTTCGGATTATTACAACACAAATGATTACATAAACAAAACAGAGAATGAAACTATATCAGGAAGCGGAAATTATTACATCCATAATACAGTATTTTCTTTCCATCATCAAAGTCGTGCAATTTACCTTAATACTCCAGGTAAGCAAATATTACTTGAAACATGCACATTTTATAACAATAGCTTCTTATTGAATGGTGGATCCTTCAAAATCGATGAATCTGAATCTGTTTTAGTTCATGTTTGTTGTTTTCATTCTTCAGTAACGTCAGAAAATGGATGGGGATGTGCATATGACATTGAATCAAAACCTAATTCTAACTACAAAAATTATGCATTTGGATGTTCAGTTTCCCAATGCAAAGGATATGGAGCCGCATTTTATCATTCTCGTGGGTTTATCCAAGTAAGTAATATGAATACATCTTATCATAACGAAATTAAAGCTAATGCTGCTTACACAATTAAAAATCCAACGGGAGTTATTAATTTCATAACAGCATCAAATTCATCATCTTCAATAGAATCTGCAATCAATAATGATGGTAAATTTAATATTTCAAGATGTAATTTTTTAAATAACAATTATTCAGGAAGAGATAATGCAATAATTAAATGTTCAAGTACATGTACATATTCAAATTGTTCATTCATAGAAAATAAAGGAAACTATTTATTTGATTTATCACCAACAATTGATAATTGTTACTTTAATAATAAAGATGTCAACGACTTTGCAAGAGTTGGTAACTTTTCTTATAAAAAGCCTTCATCATTTGATTCTTTTATTTCTCATTATTCTACAGATTTTTGTGTCGTCAGGATTTATAATAGACAAGAGATGTTCAAAAGCGACAAAATAAGGCCATTTATGAATTCAAGACTCATATATGCAAGACGTTAAAATTAATAATAAAATAAGTGATTATCACGCTAAAAAAATTCAGGTAACTCATACAATAATTTCTAATAATATAGAATACTCATCCGGATTTTTGCCATTTTTATAATTATTTCTATTTTCATTGAATTCTTAAGCTTGATTATCCGACATAATCTAATTTATCAACATGAATTAGTTTTCATAAATGATAACATAATTCATCAAAGTTTTTCGGATTATTACAGCACAAATGATTACATAAACAAAACAGAGAACGAAACTATATCAGGAAGCGGAAATTATTACATTCATAATACAGTATTTTCTTTTCTTCATCAAAGTCAAGCAATTAATCTTAATTATCCAAGTAAAGTATTACTAGAAGCATGCACATTTTCCAATAATTGCTACTCTTCAAATGGTGGATCCTTCAAAATCGATGAATCTGAATCTGTTTTAGTTCATGTTTGCTGTTTTAATTCATCAATATCTTCAGGAATTGGGTGGGGATGTGCATATTACATTCAAACAATTTCTAATGCTAACTCCAAAAGTTATGCAATTGGATGTTCAGTCTTACAATGCAAGGGATATGGAGCTGCATTTGAACATAAATATGAAGATATCCAAGTAAGTAATATGAATACATCTTATCACACTGAAATTCAAACTGATGCTGCATGCATAATTCAAAGTCCAAAAGAAACAGGAATTATTAATTTCACAACAGCATCAAATACATCATCTAGAGATCAATCTACAATCAATAATGATGGTAAATTTAAAATTTTAAGATGTAATTTTTTAAATAACAAATATACAGGAGGAGATTATGCAATAATTAGATGTAGGAGTACAACTACATATTCAAATTGTTCATTCATAGAAAATAAAGGAAACTATTTATTTAATTTATCACCAAATATTGACAATTGTTACTTGAAAAATAACGTTGTCACTAACAATGTCAGAGAGGGTTCATTTTCTATTAAAAAGCATTCACCATTTGATTCAAATATATCTCATTATACAACAGATAATTGTGTCTTCAAGACTAATAATAGACAAGAGATATCAAACAGTAACAAAATAAGATCATTTAAGAATCCAAGATTTAGATCACGAAGGCGTTAACGCTCCTATGGATGAAGAGAAAGAGTACACCAATAGATTTCTTTTATATCCATCCTATGTGAAATTTAAATCATATCTGTTTTCAGATTGATCCGATTTAAGGCTGCACTTACGCCCATTTGACATTAATTCAAATTTTTGACAACTGGCGTGAAAGCCGTGTCATAGGGGCGTAAGTGTACCCTTAACATGTTAAATAAAAGTTGATAAATGATATTCTAAAAATTGCTAAATTGTATTTTTAAAATTATAGTAAATGAATAAAACGTGTTTAGATACAAATATTTTCTATCATTCTATAAGAATATTGTTTCAACTTTTTATTTAGCAATTCGATTTTAACATAGTAATGATTATCCAAATTCTTAAAAGAATCCATTTTTACAAATTTCGATCAAGACTATATGCAAAGCATTTTCTTTGAAATTACACCATTATAATCCAACAACTTTCCAATTCTTTTGAATGTTTGGTTTTACAATGAAGTTGGCATAGTGTTACATTATATCATAAATATGTACAAAACACAAATAATAAAAGTAATAATTTAATCTAATTTCTAAGAAATCTGATTAATGAGCTTTTAAGATATATTCGTTTACTGGGATATAAACCAAAAACCTACATTTCAAGCATCAAATCATTGTTTTCCTGAATTGCGAAGACGCAGATATAATTCAAAAGAAATTTAGCTGCGAAATCCAGATTCAAACATCTTTATAAAAAATCAGATCACGAAGGAAGATTAAAGAACTGAAATCTTTGAAAAGAATTTTTTTCCCAAAAAAATGAATCAATTGCGAGATCTTTCTGACTCAGATGCAAACAAACTATTATCAGATTTAATATCTCAAAATGGTGATCTGCAGCCTGATCATCTTATTCTCGCTCTTTCTAGAAGATTTTTCAGAATTGCAGCTCAAATTTTATTAAAAGGCGTGAGATCAAACCAAATTGACCAGTGCATTTCCGTCCTTTTACATGCACCAATAGAATTCGATGAGTCATTTAATACATTTCTTGCTGCTTTGGCCTTAGAAAATATTTATTTACCAGAAGTTATCAGTTCCATTCCATCAGTATCAGAAAAGAACAAACAAATGCTCTTACCAATACTTGCATACCATTTAATTTCATTCGAAGATAAACCAAATGTTGAATATTCCGAAAACTGGTTTGTGAATGAAAATATTTTATTAAACGCTTACCAGAACAGAGACACATCATGCTTAGCGTACCAATTAATTGAATATATTCTTAGTTCTAATTTGGATAAATTACGACCGAAACTTCGCTTATTTAATGCAAATGTAGAAAGTATTAACATCCCTATCATACCACGCAGAATTACAGAACTCACAAAAGCAGTTTCTTCCTACACAAAAAAGTTGACCAACAAATGTTTTCTAGAATCGTCAGCGAGCTTCAATTATACATATCTAGGGAAGTTGTTCCTATTGCAAACGATTTATCGTCTACAGCTGCTTCTTTGCGTTTATTTAACAATTTAATACCGAATATTCATCATTCCTTTACATCCATGGTTACTGATATGTCAGGAAACCTTTCAGAGAAAGCCAGAGAGTATCTAAACAGAAGTATTGAAGAGAAATACTCAAATAGATTACAAACTTCACTTCCCCATGTAATTACTTTCTGTTATTTAGCCGCAATATCAAGATTAGATAATTGTGATTCTTTGTTTAACAAATTCAAAGAAATTGCATCAAAAATTCCAGATGTTATTCCGAATTCTCTCAAAAACTACCAGGAAATCATTGTTAACCCTCTCAAGCAATATGATGCAATATTTGATAAAGAAAGCGAGCTCGCGAAAGTGATTAACAACGCTTGTATCGAAATCCGAAATATTGTCGCTGTTGGAGAGTATATGTTGCTTGAAGCTGTTATTCATGATGAAGTTGCACAGATTACAAGCCATACAATGTTCTATCCAACGAAATATTCCCAAATTTCCATGATTTCAACAAAAATTCCGAAATTTACAAGAAAAATGTTGAATCAAGAAGAAAATTGCTCGAGCAATTGAATGATATGGTCACAGAATTCCTTAATTCCGTGAAAACATGTCCTGGAGCTATAATCGGAGTCAACATTGAAGAATTAAAACCTCCACGCGACTGGAAGTGGTCAAACGTTAGTTTTCCATTACCAGAAACACCTATTGAGGTCCATAAGATGCTTTGCGATCGCCAAGATCTCATTATGAAGTCAATAAAAGTGAGATCTTTCAAAAATTCTCCGAAATGTCGACATCAAGGCTGCAACGAAGTGGCGAACATGGTTTGTGCTAAATGTAGGAAGCTTGTATTATGCAAGAATCATTGCCATGATGGCGAAAAATGTCCAATTTGTGGAAATCCAATCAAAGTTATTTAATTCTGAAATTTAGTTATGAATTCTGTTGTTAAAAATTATATTGTTATATAAATAAACATAATTTTGAATCATTTTATTAAACAAAATTTGGATTTTTTAAAAAAATTCTTTTTATGGTCATCGATTTCAATTAGAATACGACCAAAATTGTTAAATAAGACAGAGATGTACTTCCCATGTATGAATTATCAGTAGTCAGATTTATTTTCGAAGTGGATGAATGGCGAAAGAAAACGAGGCCGCCATAAAAAACACCCCCATAATACAGATAGTAGTGATGATGCCAGCCTCGAACTAAAATACTCGAAACAGCTTAAATTACGAGAATTAAGATTTCAAGAAAAGATCAAATCAAAAACAGATAGAAATAATCGGGAAGAAGAATCATCCAAAACAAATGAAAATGCCAATGAGCCACCTCCTAAAGCTCAAGAAGAAAATTTCACACCACAATTTTTTAATCCAATGAACATCCAATTCCCAATTTCTGATATTGATGAAATAATTGCTGAGAAAGATGGTAATTATTTAGTAAAATTGCGAAATGTTTCGTATTTAAACTTACAATGGATATCATCTGAAGAAATCCTTTCTCACATGAATGGAACACAAGTGTTACAGTGTTTTAAAGACATTTTACCTACTAGAGATCCACCATTTTACAATTTAATCTTTAATAAGCCAGAATTAGTTGTAAAAATCATTGATGACATGTGCTTAGTGAAATGGAAGTCACTGGGATTTAAATACTGCACGTGGGAATCGCTTTCTTCATTTACAAATTACGTTATTTCAAATAAAACAGAATTGGACAGTTCAATTACTAAACCAATATGGTTTTTCAACTTAGATAAGAAATACCAACCTGCTGTTCTTTCAATAGCCCAAGAATTTGGAAAAACAAAAAATATAATTTTATCTGGAACAGTTGGCTCAATTATGAGGTTACAACTATATTCTGTAATGTTTTATATATCTCGCTGTCTAAGTAACAATCCATTTTTAATAGCCGTTGAAGATAGAATTTTACAAGTTGTTGAAGCAGAGATAAAATCGAGATTTAATATGAATATACTTGTTTTGTCTAATACTGATGATTTCGATGAGATCCAATCGACAAAAGAAAACGCTTTTGTTGATAATCCTTTTGATATCATTTTAATTTCGATAGAAGCATTGCAAACTTATAAAGAAAGCCTTGATGCAATACAATTTTCTATTGCCGCTATTGATATGACTGAAATTTATGGAAGAATCGTAAATCCTTCAAATCAAATTGAATTTGGTATTGAAATCAACGCAGAAATGAAAATTTGCTTGTCTCCTTTGTTTGCTAGACAGAATGGAAAGATAATTAACTCACAAACGCCGCAAAATATTGAAGAATTTTCTTGGATTATTTCTCCTAATTATGAAATGGTCAAGAGATACACGGAATTACCAACAAATGATTTTTTCGATTGTAAAAATGAAGCGGATTTCGTTAGTTGGGCTTCAAAATTTCATGAAATTACAAATTTTACAAATGTTGAACTTTTTAAGAACTGGGATATGATATTACGTAAGATTTTGGATATAACTAATCGTTCTGGACAGATATCAACGCTTACGCAATTAGTTTCCCAGTCAAATTCAAAATTAGGTTCAATATTAAACGTAATTCCTTTAATTCCTGAAAGATCAGGGGTATTATTAATCACTTCATCAACAGAGATATCTACATTCCTTCAATCTTATTTTTTGGTTAAGAAAATTCCAATTTTATTTATTAATTCTTTAAATGACTTCAACGAGACGATTCATAACTTCCATGAGATCAATGTTGACACAAATTATATAATTATGCCGCCTGGAGACAAAAATTTGGATTTGAAAGAAAATTATTTTGATTATATTTTAATTTTGGATCCGCAATATTGTCCTGACATTTCTATTAAGAGTAATTTGATAACTACTGTTGTTAGAATGGTTATACAATCATCAGAAGAAGTAATTTTGTTTGGAGCTCGTCAATCACTCAAACCACAACAAATTGTATCGTATACATCACAGTTTTTGTGGAAACCAATAAGAGAAAGGCCTTTACAAGATTATTCTGAATATAATTTTTTATTATATGAAAGATTTGGAAAACACGAGCAAATTCCAGCACAAACAGCATCTGTTATTGATAATTATTATGTTCATGGCCAGCCAACAAAAGTTATTTTGAAAATTTTTGAAAATCCTCAAAATATTAACTTTAAAAAGGTTTCAAGAGAGCAGTTAACAGCTGAATTTCTATTGCATATCCTCAGAACTTTGAATATTTATTGTCTTGGCCAATGGTTTAAATTTGGTTTCAACGGATATGATACAAGAACTGTAAAAACAGCTATTTATTTAGTTGTTATTACACTTATGAACTTGTGCGACATGAATTTCCCTTTGTTATCAAATTTCATCAAAAATTCTAACTTTTTGTACTTGGATGAGTATAAGGAGCCGTTAGAAATGTTCATTAGGGATAACTGCAAGCCAAAAGATATCAGATCCCTCTTGATTCGAATAGAAAAATTATTAATAATTTCTAACTTGGTTTCTTGTTCGAAACAAGCTCCAAATCAGATATACATCAAGGAAACTGATTTATATAAACCAGCTCCTTGGTGGTCCCTCTCTGATGATCAAGAATTAATTTATCGCACTTGGTTCTATGGATATGGAAAGATGCCAGTGTCATTATCCGAAAAATGGTCTGTCAAAGGTATTAGAATTGAGTCAGAATTAATCTCACAGCGTCTCAGAACTTTGACATTTGTTATTAGACGGGAAATCGAAAAATTACCGAACAAATTAGGTAATTATCCGATTTTTGTGCCTCCTGTAACCAATCCGCCAAATATCAGACTGAAATTCAATGTTGCAGAACAATTAGTAATTGCAAAGCAACTTTTGAGTTTTGGAAAGATCAATTCGGAAGAATTGCTTGATGATCCTTTGCTTGCGAACAAAAAGAAAGAAGATATCGAGCATTTTGCCGAAATTTTGATAAATGTTGTCAAAAGTGGTAAGTCAAATCCATATGTCAAGCTTGGAATCAAGACACTGACCAATATTGGAAAGATTATGACCTTGTTTTCCATTGCAGAGAGCTTAGATTTCACAAATATGTTTTGTGAAGACCGAATCCTTGTTGAAACAGTAATGTTGTACGGATTAAATGATGCTTACAAGTCCAACTGTCTTCCCGCTCTTCTAAATACCGAGAATCCTTCTAAAGAACTAATTTTGGAAAATTTCGAACGAGTTGTCAAAAACGCCGCATTTCCTTCATCAGAAGACTTTGTCCAGAAGATCTGTGAGACACCAATACCAGCAGGTGTCGACACATTAGTCTTAAGTTTAGGAAAAATTGACACTCGAAGTTCATTTTCCAACCAATCCTACATTTATCCCATTGGATTTTCAATTACAACAACTTTTTGTGGGGAACCGATTGCTTGTGAGATAAAAGAAGAGAAATCATCCCCTATTTTCGTTGTCAGACGCGAAACTAATGAAGAAGAATTCATTGGAACAAATCCTGATGAAGCAGTAAGAGATTTCGTTGCAGCTGTTGCTCCTCAAAGATTTGATTATATCAGAAGAACTCCTGGTCATGAAGTCTTTGGTTTGTGCAGTTGTGATGTACTAAGAAGTATACAATCAATGAGGAATGCTGATAAATGTCAGAAATACAAAATGCGAGTTTTCGCAGATTCATTGCCAACAAATGATTTTCCAAGAATATTCAGTCGATGGAGATTTGGAGAAAAGAGACAAATGGAATCTCCTAAACCTGAAAATACTGGAACATTAGATTTGAACCATGTTGCTCAAGAATCGGATAAACTTAATCATGATGACTGGTTAAGGATTTTGAATTCTGTTTAATTTTGTTTTATATTTTATAATTTTTTTCATGTGTTATTTTATAAAATTTTAGATTATTTTTTGATTATGTCTAGTGTAATTATGACTCTTGTATATTCACTAAAGTTTTTCACAATGAATTCCTCTCATTGAATTATTATCTCGATTAATTGGGTTCTATATATGAAATTGATTTTAACGAATTGAAATTTCAAAGATTTTCTTCTAACGTAGCATAATATTCGGGTGTCACATTTATAAAAAAACTTTTTTTCATTCAAATTTTCAATGAAAAAGTTCCAAATCTTATTTTAAAATGCCCGCTCATTTCATTGCTTTTATTTGGAGCTAGTAAGCTCTCCCTAAATAAAAACCGTAAAATTGACTAACATTTTACTAAAATCTGACAAGTTGTCCAGCATTTCGAAAATCTTTTCATGTCATACTTTTTATAATTGCTTATAATATCTCTTAGGATTAGAAACAAAACCAACCTCTTGGAATCGAATTTTGAACATGATTTGATTTTGAAATTTAATGGATCAATCGGCACTATAATTTAACCCGAATTGATATATGCTATTAGTTTAAAAATGATTAAAAATTGTAACAAGTAGTAGGATAGGAAGGGTTGTGTGACTTTTTTTGTTACGTCTATATATAGATGAAAGTATATTTTCACATCTTCTATATATAGATGATATAAAAATTTTTTCTTACGTTTTTTAAGTCATGAATTCGTAAGAAAGCGCGACATTATTAAATAAATTAGTAATAAATATTATATACTAAACACATTTTAAAAAATTAACATTAATTTTAAAATAATTTATTTTTTATCTTTTATAAAAGAAGCTATATATAGATGATGTCAGATATTCCGCGATTAATTAAACATTGTTTAAATCCTGAATGGAATCAATGGAGTCATAATCAAAGACCTCATAAACGAGAAGAAGAAATTAGAAATAATTATTTTCATGAATGAAAGATTCACTACCATAATGAAATAAAAAATAAAAAAATAAACTTAAAAAATTCATGTCTCACATTTTTGAATAATTTATTTTTATTTTGTATGAAATGAGCGTCAAAACTAACAACGTTAAAAAATTAGGATTCACAAACGAGGAAATAAAGGATATATTAGATGAGATGTGTTATGAAGTTAGTAAATATTATTTAAGAAATTGTCAAAAATTTGCCGAGTTATTAAATGATTTAGATTATGATGGAAAAATGAATAAAGATGATGTTATAAATTTCTTATATCCCACATCTGAAGAAGAAAAACCTAAAGAACCTGATGTTTTCCCTGAATATTATGAAGAACGGATTAAAGATGATGATGAATACGATGAAATTGAAATTGAAAGACTGGAAAAAATAAGAGATGAAATAGATGAAAAAATTAAGGAATTAAGAGAAGTTGAAAAATATAATGAAAATGAAGTATAGGGTTTAATGAATATCCCAGCTTCAGAATCAGAAGTTCAGAAATCTCATGAAGAAAGATATAAAAATTATGTCTTAGAATCAACACAAAATTTATTAGATGGTGAAATAGATGAAACACTTTCAGAAGAAGGTACTAAATTTATTCGTAAACATAAATTACAATTTATTGATAATGAAAAATACCCTTGTATCTTACTTTCACCCCCTCTCGATTCTGAGAAATTCAAAAAAGCTCTTAAAAACGTGACATATGCAACTAATACGATTAAGAAAGAAGATCATGATATTTACACAAATTATTATTTAAATAAATGCACAGGTGTTGATAAAGTTTTTGATTTATTAGATAAAATATCAAAAGAAACCATTGGAACATATAAAATTTTGTGTGATTGTGGTTTCATTATTGAAGATACCAATAATGTTTCATATGAAAGAACAGCACCGAAGGAAGACGAAGTTGAAAGGTCTATACCATTCGTTATTAAGAACATAAAAGATATGAAAACTTATAAACATTATATTTATTCATTTATTTCAGAAAAAATGGAAGCAACTCATAAAACATCTTCTCATCATTTTATAGCTATTCATACATTCCTTTTCAAAGTTGTGAAATTAAATAAGACAGGAATTAGATTTAATGTATCAGGATATGCATTCTTGAGTAAATTAAAATGTATTCGTCACGTCGCAGATGATAAAAATTTATGTATTCTTAATTCATTTTACGGACTTTAAAAATAAAGTTTATTTTTATTTATTTTTTATTCTTACATAAATGAACAAAAACGGAACAGCTAAAATGAATGATAATCAAATTAGAGCAGAAGGTAGAAGGTTATTTAAACGCTTCTATAACATTCCTGATGGTGTTAATCCTAAAACTCGTAGAAGTTATTTAAATGAAGCAATAGATGCCTATGAAGGGTTTAACATTTCATCAGAAAGTGAGAGATTAGCGAGAATGTTAAACGTTAATATTGATTTTTATTATTGTGATCCTCAACCAGAAGACGTGGACATAAATAAGGTAGACTTTCCATTAGTGGATTCAATAATGATAGATCCAGAATTTGAAACAGTAAATATTTTATTAACACAGAGTCCATGTGGAAAACTTCACGCTGACAGAATAACAGACGTTGAAGCACTCACCGGCTATAGAGTTTGTCCATATTGTAAAGAAGAAGTTTATTCTATCCGTGATGATCCAGAAAGGAAAAACCAAAGAAGATTTTTAAAGCATTGTGAGAAATGTAAAGAAAATAATGGAAGATTAATTCAAGACGTTCAGTTGCAAAAGACACAGCAACCATATGCACCACATATTACGAAACAGAAGATATATCAGTGGTTATTAGCTCATAATTTGCAGGAATATTATCAACCGACAAGATATTATATTACTTTTGACTTCGAAACATTAGAGACTAAAGAAGAATTACAACTTTCTGAGCGTGCAACTTTGAACGCTTACTTAAAACCATTCATGGTATCATCAACGGTTAAATTAAATGATAAAACATATACGAGGAATTTTTGCTTAACTTCGAGTGATTCTTTTATTTCTGATTGGATTGAGTTTTTATTTTCAACCTGTTCATTAGTTGCTAAATCAAATATTGAACAATATGAAGAATTAATGAAGTCGCAAACGGACTCTTTGAGTCCTGAAGGTCTTTCAGACCAAACGGCGGGGACTTTGTCTCATACATTAAATGAAAAACAGAAGGAAGCATTTAAAGAACTTCTAGATGAGGAATTCAATAAAGTGAATATCATAGGTTTTAATTCGGGAAAGTTTGATTTAAATTTAATTCTTCGTGATTTAAACACTGCAAAATGGAAAATAAAATCAATGCTGGGTTCATCTTCACAATTTAAGCAAATCATTGTAAAGAAAACAAACGTTCCATATGAATTGAGATTTATTGACATCGGAAATTATATAGCGGGTGGGACATTAGACCAATTCACTCAAGATTTCGGAAACAATAAATCACGTGTTAAATCCTTTTTCCCTTATCAATTCATCACCTGGGAAAATTACGAAGAAGAATTATATAAAGAGGAACCATTCACGAAAGATTCATTTTATTCAGCATTAACTCAAGAAACTATATCAGATAGTGATTATCAAATATATCTCAATGATGCTAAAAACTTTAAGAATAGATTAGAATATTTTATTCATTATTGCAATAAAGATGTTGAAATTATGATTGACCCAATTGATAAAATTATTGAAGAAACATTTGTTTATAAAATTGACATGCTTCATAATCTTTCTTTATCATCGAATGCTTCAATGATTCGTTACGCTTTAGCATATAAAGACTTTAATCCTAATGAAAAATATCCTGAGGAAGAGATAGAATCAAGTTTTGAATTAACGAAAAAGTATTGGAAATATAAAATTGAATCATATAAGAAACAAGATGAAAAAGCAGAAAGGGATACTAAAAATAATGTTTCAATGGATGATTTTCAATACTATCACGATTTAATCCTTTCATCTAAATGCAAAATGTGTGGTAAAGCGTTTACATATGCAAATAAACCAACATTGGATAGAATCGATAATGAAAAACCACATACCAAAGAAAATTGTCAGTTAATGTGTTGTTATTGCAATGTCGTGAAATCAAATAAAGATGAAGATGTTCAATGTTTAAGAATCAATTTAAGAAATTATGCATTAAAAAATAATTTACCAATGACTTTAGATTCAGTTGAAGCTTATCACATTCTCCGTAATGGAATTACTGGTGGTTTATCAAATGTTCAACATAGAGTAAATCTTAAAGGAATAACGCACATTAATAAACTTGCATATAATCCAGAAACTAAAACTGTATCAAATGAGGACACCACCAACATTATGACTCATTTCGTTGGTGTTGATTTTAATTCATTATATCCTTCATCATTTTCATCTAATCCTCATGATTTCATTCAATATACTGACCATAAAATATATATGCCGGGAAGATTGAATGGTGTTATCATTTGTGATACAGCAACAAAGAAAGCAAAAGCACTGGGAATAATTAAGAAGAAAAATACTTTATTCGTTGCTGAAGTAAAGGGTCACATTGATGAAAAATACATTAATGATTACATAAACTTTTTACCGATAATAAGAAACTTAGATATTATCACAGATGAAAAAACAATTGGTAGTTTTATGTATAATTACATGAAATCAAACAATCTACCAGTTGACCAGAAACAGAGGAAATTAACTCAGTTAGCATCAACACACAACCAATATCAACCATTTTCTTCTTATTATCTATGGTATCTAATAGACAGGTTTAATTTTATCATCGATGATATTCAATCAATTTTAACATTTACGAAAAACACTTGTTTTAATGAATTTGCGAACAAATTTATGAACGAAAGACAAAAGGCTGAATTAGAAGGAAATAAAGGAAAAAGTTTATTTTGCAAAATTTCACTTAATGGATCATATGGTTACGATGCAATGAATACACAAAATTACGCAAAGACTAAAATAATGAATGCACAGAGGGCACGCGTTGCATGTATGTCAAATAAGTTTAAAAACATAAGAGAAATAGGTGAAGATACATATCAAGTGATGCTTAAAGATAGATTTTATAGATGTGATACATGTTTACAAGAGGCATTCTTCACTTTAGATAATGCTAAATACTGGTATTTGGTTTTCATTTATGATTTTATGTATAAATGCATGAATGTTAATCGTTTTCATTTCATTGAAGGTGATACTGATTCATCTTATTGGGCTATTGCTGGCGATCCAAGTCTTCCTAACACTCAAGCATTTCAGGCGATTGTTACCGATAAACAATTTTATGATAAAAACATTTTCAAATTCGCACCATTTGATTTCTTCTGTTTTGATGAAAAATTTAAACCTAAATTAAAGAATAAAGCTGAAGAAAAAGCATATGAGAAAAAATTATTGGGTTTAGCAATTGAGAAACAAGGTGATAACATGGTTGCTTTATGTCCTAAGTGTTATACATCATTCAACGGTTCAATCGATGGAAGTGATTTTAAAAAGATTGCACAAAAAATGAAGGGTGTTAGTTTAAGACAAAATAAGCAATTAACACCTAAAAATATTTGGATATAATAAATGATAAAGTGATATTTGATGGTCAAAATATTAATTTACAACTTAAAAACGGGTCAATGACTCGCTTAACAATCGGTAAGACTGCATTAACAGGAGCATACACTAAGGCTGTATGTTGTGAAAATGGATGTTGTATGCCATTTATTTAATACAATTTAAAAACGTAGGGGTTGAGTCATGAATTTAAAATTTTATTTTTAATAAAATGCCACAGAAGAGACAAAAGGAACCGTTAATGATGTGATTCAATATGTAAATAATGGTTTTGATACTATGATTCAAAGAGGTGGGCACCCTTAAAACATTGATTTTATTTTTATATAAATGGATAACATAGATTTAAAAATTTTAATTGATGATTTAGTATTTAATCAAAATTTTCTTGATTATTACGATTTAAAATCATATCTCCAAAAACATAATAACAATATAATGGGTGATGATATGGAATATTATTATCCATATTATAAAAATGAAATTTTGAAATATCATAATAAAATAATTTCTAAAATTAAAGACAAAATTAAAAATAATGAATATACAAAGGGAAAAACTAAATCACAACTTAAACAGTTGAAAGATTTCAAAAATAAAGTATTAACAGAAGAAGATATTGATGAATTATATAATTTATATAATCCTGAGCCACAAAAACCAAAGCCGAGGTCTAAAGTAGCAAATGTTCAACAGCTAAAGGAACAAAACGCCCAGGTCCTTCAGACCATAAATGATGCACAAGCTTTAATTTATGATTCATTAGTTAAACCATATTCAGCCCGACTTTTAAATGAAGATCAACTTTTGGAATTCATCCTTCAACATAAACTCGAAGCGGGAAAGTATATCAAACCTTTATATACAACATATTTAAAACAAATGAATAGAATACATCCAGAATTAATGAAGGGGGAATGAATTCCAAAATCAAAGCGGATAAAATTAAACCACTTGCAACACCAAAACCTCCAACGACAGTACCTCCTCCTTCAGTTAATCCTTCATCATTCACTTTATTATATCCATTTCAAACATTAAAGAAGCAAAAAGATTTTAAAAAGGATTTCAAGATATTAAATAAACCAACTGACCCAAAAATTCAACCGTTAAAGGAAAAATTTAGTCGCCCTTCATTTGCACCATATCCATATTCATACGAAATCGATCATCTGGAATATTCAAAAGGAAACGTTACTTATTTATTTGCCATTAACATTAACACTAGATATTTATATTGCATTCCTGTGAAAGGGAAAACAGAACAGGAAACAAGAAGAGCTATACAATACTTACTAGATCATGAAAGAGTAGATAATATCAGGGGTGATGGTGATAAAGGATTTCAGGCAACTATGACTCATTATTTCCCACAAATTAATTTTTTCTTTTCATCCTCTCCATATACGTTTCATAATAAAATAGTTGATGCGGTAATGAGAACTCTTAGAGATGCGTTAGGGGTTAACGGTCAGATATACTGGGATGGAAATCATGACTCCATCATACAACAGTTAGTATATTATTACAATAATACATGGCATAGAACTATAAACATGAAACCAGTGGAAATGAAAAATGATATTTCAAAAGAATGGGAATATATTAGAAAGCAAATGGAAAGGTTGAATGATGTTAAACGTGAACAAATTAATTCGGGGCTCATGAATTTTAAACAAGGGGATAAAGTTTTGATTCATCTCGATTATGGAAAAACTAATAAATCAATGACAAAAAGAAGACGAAGATTTGACACAATAGCTGAATTTGTTAGATATATTAACGGCAATGCATTAGTTGAAGTTGACAATAAATTAATAGAAATTCCGATTTATTTTATTACTCCATTATATTTAAATAATATTTAATTTTTTTATTTCGTAAGAAATGAGTGACAACAAAGCAGTCAAGAGTCCAGACGATGAATATAAAAAGAAACTAAACAGAATTAAATCAAAAATATGCTATTACAAAAAGAAGCCACAATGTGATGGGGCTGAAAACGATAAAGAGAAGAAGGAAATAATCGAAAAGTTAGAAACTTACCGTTCAATCCTTAAACTGAGTGAAGCAAAAATAAAAGAATTTAATAGAATAAATAAATTGATTGGAAGAGATGAATTTAATAAAGATGAATTTTTAAACTCAATCCAAATTTAATTTTTATTCCTCTTCCCGAACCCTTCTAGGTTCTTCTCGGTTTTCGTGGTAAATTTTGAGCTTGTGGGGTATCCATTTATATAAAAATAAAATTTTGTTATCAGTTATTTTATCGTTAATGGTTTCAGGTTATTCAAAAATAATTAATTATTGAATAACTGAAGGTGTCACTATGTCACCATGTGTCACTCGGTTAATTAACTTCTCTGAAAAAATGAGACAACATGACATTTTGACAACACAGCAGGATTAATGAGGAAGGCACTTATGAATTATTTTTGAATAACTGAAGGTGTCACTATGTCACCATGTCACCAGGTTATTTAACTTCTCTGAAAAAATGAGACAACATGACATTTTGACAACACAGCAGGATTAATGAGGAAGGCACTTATAATGGTATTGAAGTCTTACGTAGAGACAAGGATGGTTACATTAATGCAACAAAGATGGCAAGAGAAGCGGGAAGGTTAAACCATTTAAACAGATTTCTCAATAGTACTAAAATGCAGGAAATTCTTGAGTTTTGGATGAACGAATACGGTCGAGCCACTTTTGGCTTGACCTCAAAACAAGCATTTTATGAGCTTACAAAGGGTGTCATGAATGAATTCAAAGGTATTTACATACATCCTGACCTCGTTCATTTTGTTGCTGAATGGTGCTCTGTAAAGTATGCATTTTATGTCAAAGATATTATGGACTCCATAGACAAGAAAGTTCATGAGAAATTAGATGAAGAAGAACTCGAAGATACAGTAGAGAATGCTAAACCTTTGTTCGAACAAGAAGTTAGAAAAATGTGCGAAAAACAATTAGAACATGAACGTGAGATATGTTATGGTTATAGAGATTCTCCATACGAACTAGACCAATGGGAACAAGAAGATTTAAAGAGAGAATTTAGAGAATATGAACTCACCAAGATAGCATTAGAAACTGCAGAAAAGAAGTTAAAAGTTTGGGGTCATTTTGTACAAAAATATTGTGAGTAAATGAACCATTTATTTTTGTCATAAACGACCAAAAATATATTTTATCGTTAATGGTTTCCGGTTATTCAATAATTAATTATTTTTGAAGAACTGAAGGTGTCACTACGTCACCATGTGTCACTCGGTTAATTAACTTCTCTGAAAAAATGAGACAACATGACATTTTGACAACACGGCTGGATTAATGCAAAAATAAATTCCAATCATACTTTATAAAGCTTCATTTACAGGTATTTCATCGTCAGTAAATGAATCCTCATTATCGTTTGGTTCAACCTGTTTATATAATCCTTTCATTTCTTCTTTCAAAACATAACACCATGTTTGTTTACCATCTATTCTTCTCTGTTTCTTATCACATTTATCCTTAATACTCATTTGGAAATTCTTGTCTTTCATGTCTGATGGTTTGCAGAATAGAGCATTTTTACATGTCATACCTGCACACAATTCATCATAATGTGTATTTATCCATACATCTAAAGGATTTGTTGATAATTCAATTAAATCTTGTTTGGCTTCAGTCATCGGTATGATTCGTACATTAAATGATGAAAGGTCGTAATTGATAAAATATGTTAGTAAATTATCATAAAATTCCTTTGTGCATGAATCCATTAAATTCTTGAAGTAATCAAATTGACCTTGAATTTACCATTAACTTTAAAACTACGTATCTTCTGTCTCCAACTTCAATTTTGACAGGGTAGACGTTGTTAGTTACGAAAATGAAGTTTGCAACGTTCTGAGCTGTTCTTCTGGGTTGATTCTTTTCATTAATTCTAATCTCATTATCCGTTATAATTGATTTCAAAGCGTTGAAGTTTGCGAGTCTATCTTCACCTACATTCTTGAGTTCATTAAGTACAAGAAACATTTTATTCTCAACTACTGAATTGAAATTACCCGTTAGCTCACTTATTTCAGTAATGTTTTTACATGAATAACCAGTGAGAAGTTCAGAAATAATGTCTGTAAATCTGTTTTTACCTGTTCCCTGAAGTCCTTTCAAAATAATTGCTGTTTCATTCTTGATTCCAGGATGTTGAATCATTGATGCAATCCAGCCGAGAAGGTATTTATACACTTCATCGTTATTATCACAAATGGCTTCTTTAATGAAATCCATAAACATCTTAATTTTTGAGTAATCAGGCTTTTCGAGAACGTTGTATTTATAACCTTGAAACGTTGAGAAAACATCTGGAGAATCAGATTTAAAGCAAACACCCTTAACGGTTAATGAAGACAATTGATTTAGTAGTACATCCCATGCTGTTATTGTTTTACCTTCTTCTTTAAATAATTTAATCATTTTGAGTGACTCTTTCATGTTTGATTGAAGAACGAATGATATTTGATTCATTTTGTCGTGGATATTATAGTCCTTTTGAATGAAATATTTATTTCCACAATCTACAAAACGGATTACACGTGATAAATCCTCAATTACTTCAGAACTGTTTTTATACTGATGATTTTCAGCCTTGCGTCTAATATCCGTTATCAAAAACGAGTCATCAAGTTTGATATCAAATGTTATTTTTGGCTTACGTAATAAAGGTAAAACATATTCATCATAATATTCCTTTTGATAAAGTTTTAGAATCTTCACCAAAACAAATGGAGAAGTCATTAAATGTGCATATCTACTACGTGCTTTTTCAAAATTACTTTTTGCATTTTCAGTTAAATTGCAGAAGTTATAAACGTTATCGTATGCTTCATTAATTAAATGATTAGGTAACGAATTAATTGCTTGAAACAGTGTGAATAATGTAACTTCTTTTTCTAAATTCATGTTTCCACCGTCATTATGTACTTCAAAATCACTAATGCCATCAACTATGCTCTGGGTAAGTTTATCGTCAATGTTTACATCTTTGTTTTCATTCATAATAGTCTTTATTTCTTCGTTCTTCTGTTCAACTCTTACCTTAATATTCAAATCATTTAATATATCATTCACTGTTCTAGTTAATGTTGAATCGTAACTTCCACGAATGAATGAGTATGTTTTGATTGGTTCTGTTGCATTCTTGCGAACTCTTGAATCGACCATAACTACTAAAGAACGCTTTGAATCATCCATAGAAGTCATGATGTCAATATCATAATCATTGCAGGAATAACATTTAATCATTCTGTTCGAAACTGCATAGAAGAAATTAGTGTTGCAATAAATGTGAAGACCTCCTGAAGCGGTTTTAACGATAACATCTTTATCCGAAAGTTTTGATAGAATGTCTTTTCTAACTGTTTCTTTAAGTTCATCATTGTACGATTTATTGATATCAACATCTATAATCGTTAAATTTGATATTTTATTTGCTAATAAAGCTGTACCAGTTTTCCTTCCTCTTCCTCCATCGTGTTTGAGGTAGTTATGTAAATCAATCTTGTTTTCACCAATTCTTTCGTTGAGGGTTTTAGTTTCTGCCACAACTAATTCCTCAGCTAATGAATCAATAACTTTTTCATCAGAAACGATATAGTTGCTGTTGTTGTTTGTTGCTGTCATTTATATAGGAATAAAAAAATAAAAAATAATTTTAAAACTAACTTTATTTTTGGACTGCATCAAATTTCCAGGACTGTTGTCAAAATGTCATGTTGTCTCATTTTTTCAGAGAAGTTAAATAACCTGGTGACATGGTGACATAGTGACACCTTCAGTTCTTCAAAAATAATTAATTATTGAATAACCTGAAAACATTAACGTAAACATTAACGTAATCATTTATTTCCAGGACTGTTGTCAAAATG